TATATATATATATATATATATATATATATATATATATATATATATATATATATATATATATATAGCGTGCCCTTTTTTGTGTTCAGCGAGGAAGCTGAAGATATTGTCACCGTGGTAATGACAGTAGTATCGGTGTAGAATTGCATCAGTTTCTGGAACTCACTCTATACAGGAAGCAATCCCGGATATCTTTGGAGGAATGAATTTACTCAGAATCTCGATGAAATGGATGGGTGGTTAACTGAGAGTTAAGAGGAGGCAGCAGAGCAGTCACGCTATTCAGGACATTTGTGACTACGTCGGGAAATGATGGGTACTTTATTTTACAACTGATGTCATTTTATTGTTGTTTGTTGCTGCTACTGCTTCTCTAATTTCAAATTTTTGCATATGAGCCGACAAACTTCTATCGATTAACGCTATTTCCGCTTGCTGATGATTGCAGCAAGGATGACTTACGGCAATATTTCTAGGGGTGGTTCTGACGTAGAAGTTTAATTGTTATTACTATTTAAGAAACTCCACTTTGCATATCCATCATACTTTCAAATTTGTTTTATTCAACGATGGTATTGTGTGCCTAATACTTACTGTGCCCTTGCTATTTTCAAATACAAGCTGGATAAATGGTGTGAGCGATCATTTGATGTTAAGTGGAGACGGTTTGATTATGCTTGACATTCTGATTATGATTTTCGATCACATTTGCAGTTCTCATATCAACTATAAAATAACACACAATGATATGATCAGCATACCATGGAAAAATGATACAACATGTGTCATCTTCCAACGTAGACATGTTAAGTAATTTATATTTATTTTTGAGGTAATGGAGTTCTTTCCTCTTAAGTTTCAAATGATAAGTCTGTTTGTTAACTTTCGGACATCAAATTCAATTGTTCATGATATGGAGCAGACATGGATTAACTGACGTGTTGTTTGTTTGTTTTTTTTTTTCTTTCATTCAACTCCACCAAACGGATTTCACAAGTGAGAAGTCGATCAACAGTAACTCAGACCATTGTTATGATAAAAAAGTCATATAATGAAACTTGTTGAAAAAACACAAAGATTATTCGTGCTGAAATTAAAGAGATAAGGTGAAATCTTTTCGCCTGAAGAATTTAAAACGATTTAATTTGAAGGATTTCTGTTTGCTCCTATAATCGCAAAAAGAATCGTTTCTTACTATAACAGCAATTTTTCGAAAGTGATTTAGTATGGTATTTAGTCCACAGCTACCTTTTTCTTTCAATATTCTTTCAAAAAGATCTCTAGTTTCACTTGCTTCTTATTTCTTATTTACAAGGTCACAGTTGCAGTTCTCCATGAACATCCGATCCCTTTTACCGGTGATGAGCTTTGTGATCACTTACGACCACATGGCAGATGTTCTTGCGATTCGGCCGGCTATTTTTCTAATTGCTTATGAATTGCCTGACAGTTTTCTTTTCAGCACAAAAACTGTAGTGATATCTTTTACGCCGAATGACTCTACACATATTACGCGGCCGAATCGCAAGAACAACTCCCATGTGGTCATAAGTGGTTTAAGTAAAATTTCTGGTATTGTTTCGGAAGCTTGGGCATTACTTGAATAATCTGCTCTAAGTCTTGTTCCATATAATCATCATTTTCCATTTTAAATCTATTTTTAGATAAAAGGCGGGATGACAATGTTTACTTAAATTTTTCGCGTAGCTTCTTTCTGTGCTGATGAAAAACTTGTAACTCAAGTTTTCATACACCAAAAGTAACACGATTATTAATCCATACCAATTTATCTTATTTTGTGGTTTTCACTATCCCAAAAGCTTCCTACTATAACTAAAGGCATGTATTTTACTTACAAAGTGCTCATTGAAATAATCAGATGAAATCGTATATGAGTGAATCCTGCCCAGTTAGCGACGATTCATGAAGCGGATGATGATGCATCTGTGAATTGTAGATAGCTCTCTCCCTAGTACTCTGGAAATTCTAATTTCATCGCCCACTGCTTTTACTGATTTTTAGATGAACATTTCAAATCTTAAAATGAGTATGTGCTTCATGAGTTCCTCGACAACTACCACTTATTTCTTCAATGTTACAAAAGTTCGTTCAACCTTGAAACTTTCCCTGAGACAACTTTGATCAAAAATCCTTAAAAGTCCATGTGTGAACTTGTCGACCATATATAGGTTAAAGAAAATATCTTAACAGTCTATAACCGAAGTTATTTCATCCTTGCTCTCAAAAAAGCTCGAAAGATTGAAAATATTGTTCTCCCGACTGCATTCACCGATGTAACTCTTTCGTATTCACTTATTCATGTGATTTTGCTCCAGGTTGAAACACTATTACATTCCATCCTACAATCTTTGACTCCTTTGTTGCAAGTTGTCCCGCTCCATCTTGTTCGTTCAATTCTCTCTCCACTGTCGCACTATTCACCTAATTGCGCATAGTTTTCGTCTTCAAATATTTCAACTTAAAATGTTAAAAGCAGCAGCAATCAGGAATTGTAGATTTGTTTAATGAAAATATAGTGGCAGAAAATTAGTAAGGTGCTAACCTCCAGGAATTACTCGAGGCGCACAGTGGTACCACATTCTCAGGAAATCGCGAAGAGATTAGTTACAGATAATATTAGCTATCAAAACATTAACTGTTACAATTTTTCATTTTTTGTCTAATGGTAATATCCATCGTTATGAGCTGGAAATGACAAGAGGTGACGTTTTCACCTGCCTGCTTCAAGCGGTCTCACTTCTCCATCTATTAAATGAATTGACAATTGGCAGGTGTGCCTTTTTTACCTTTTTTTTTGTTCAGCTAACACTCCTAATTGTTTTGATGCAGTCTATATGGCCTACGTCGTTTTCGAGTTAATTTCTATTAATTCTAGATTCGAAAGTACCAGGTAGATTCGAAAGTACCAGGTTTAGATTTATAGCAAATGCTTTTCTTTTTCTTGCAAAAAAAACTTAGCTTCGGCGAAAACTATGTAAAAAATGATTGAATTTCAACTAAAATAAATTAACTGATGTAGAGATGAACTTATCATCCAAGTCATTCGCCTACTATACAGTAGCATACAGCATGTGGTCCATTACTATGTAGGTTCTGTTGTCTTTTACCTCGAGATTCGGGTATTTAAAAATTCCAGTGTTTATCTGTTGAAAAAAGATAGGAAGAATGATCACAACAATCAGTATCATTTTCCAGAAAGTGGAGTTGATAAGGTATTCTGAAATCTGCTAATAATTCACGTACAATATGTTGAAATAGTAGTAAACGGATAGGTTTATGAGTAAGAAGACGAACTTTTTGTTGAGGGTGATGATAAATAATTCTGAAAAATCTGTTTTCTTAACCTTTTTCTTAACCCCGGTATTTTCTTAGCCTTTTTTTCTCGAAAAATTTTTTTTTTGAAATTGTCACAAGTTTAAAATTACTTTCCACCATAATTTTAGCAGGAAGTTCAGGCAGAAAGCTACTTTGGCGGGACGATGACAATTGCTGTACTGACGTATGTGACAACTTGCCGATCTAAGCAGAAAAACCGATATTTCCTCATGTGCCAGTGAATAGATATGCATTCAAAAATCTTGGATACTCAAGAAAAAGTACTTAAATTAAGAAGAATGATATTGTCCGTACCAAAAAAATCTCAGGCGAATAGCATGCAGTGATTGAGAGGGGGGAAGGCAAGTACCTTTTCTAGAAGTATCGTTTCCTCTATTCAAATGGACACAATTTTTTCCATCGCTTAGTATGAACAAATCGACTTCATTGCATTCTTCTTCTTGTTGATTTTACTGCTTTCATTTTTGTTGTAATCACCGAATCCCTTATAATATCTCAGAAAAGTAAACGTATCTTTCTCATTAGCGAAAAAGCCGTGTCCCTGTATCGCAGAATGGTTCAGATCATCAAATATTTTGTGTATATCATCTACGCTACTTATGTAACAAGCGTAAACTATGAAGCAAATAAGTAATTTTACAATAGTAAGAGTTTGACCAAATTTTCTTGACACTTCAAGTCGCTCAATGGACCCGCCAGCTAAGTATTTGCTCTAAGTACTTGCTTTATAAATAAGTGGTGATTGGAGTGGATAAACTAGCAACGGTGTTGACCAAATAGATGAATAGTATACCACTACGAGTTAATGTATCAACCTATTATCTGGAATGAATTACAGATAATACTGCTGAAATCAGAAAGTCACGTCAACAGCAATAGCGCGTTACTTCACGATCCTAATGCGCCTAACATTCACATTACTCTTTCTCGTCGTTGCTTTCGATGTACAATTCGTTCACACACTCAATTGGCGATTCAACGAAGGGTTCGATTTAATTGTTTATTGTTATCGTATTTCCAATGTAGTTCAGAGTATCATATCCTTGGCGTTCCTTCACCCCTTTATGCGTAGAACACATAATGCTTAAAACCAATAAGAATATCACATTTTGTTAACATTCTTCCAGTAGCTACAATTTCCAGGACTGCATGATGAAATATTGTGAACTAATTAGTAATTCTCTTTGAACGCATTATCAACCTTTCCGAAAATGTGACACCCTAATTTTCCAGGGCCCTAACATATCCCCATCAGATATCTGCTCAGACATCTGCGCGTTTTATTCTGCTGACTGCAAATCTCCACTCACACTTATCTTAAGCAGCTATTGACTACAATAATTCCGAGCAACAGAAGCACTATGCTGAAAGTAAATCTGAGGTTTTATCCAACCAAATGAGGAGAATTTTGCAGGTTAGATGAGTCAATGGCAATGTTACGTAATTTACGAGCCAAGGAAATTTCACCACCCAGTTATATGAAACGCTTCGAACGTGAACCTACCGAACAATTGCTGCAACATATTTGGCTAAATATTTTACATCCGAGAATATTGAGACATCACGACCTGTCGCAACCATTATTTTACTTGCCTTTGTGGAAAGAGGGTTAAAATCGTTCTCCATCACATAAGAATGGCTCCAACCCAGAACTGTATGATCCTCCAGATTCCCTGAACCACGCAGGTGCTACATTTTTTTCTGGAGCCATTGTCACAATTTGTTATGAATTAATGTGTTAAAAATATAACAAAGCTGGTGAAATATGAACACAGATGATACTGATTTGTGCAGAAGTTATGATAAAACTTTTCTCAAACCAGCCATCAGTTCAAATGCAGCTAGACCTTAATAATCTATAGCACGTTATTCAATTTATCTAATTCTGAAGATTCAATGGGCCAAAAACATTGGCTTACCCATGGTCTTTGTCATTTAAAAGTAACGCTGATTTGATTATAACTCTAGAAGGTCAATATATGTTGTATTATCTTCTCGATCTACTTTTGAAACTTTCGGAGCATATGCCCCGCTACTTTGATATTAATCGTGTGTTATCATTTCCGATAACACTGCATGCCAGATTGCTTTTGTTTCCTAACATAAATGTAGTATATGACTTTAACTAAGGGTTTCAAAAAATGCTGTATATTCACTGACTCTTCTAACGTAATTGCGTTACTGCATATACGTAAAGAAACCATTAAATTATGATGCAATTACTAAACAAACCATTAAATTATGATGCAACTACTACAGGCATCATTTTTATTACTCATAATTTAATTTACAAACCACAAATAACAAAAGTTGGAAGGGAAACGAAGAAAGAAAAGAAAGGAAAATAGAGAAATAAGAAGCGTCTTAAATCAATCGTAATTATTCTACAAGAACAATCAAAAAATGACGTTCATGATGGCAGCGAATCATCAAATTCATCGAACTCATAGAGTCTTTTTGCTTCTTCATTATATTTTTTTTAATTGTCGAAAATGACCAATGTCGGCAAATCCTTAAATTAATTATTACATAAAATTTTTTGAAACTTCGAAGAATAAAAGGTGCATTAAGGAAAATAAATTCCAACAACCTCAATAGTTGTACAAAGCGTAAGTATGAGGTAAAGATGACTTAATTAGAATATCTCATTAATTCGCAAGTGTTGGGAATTTTGAGTAAGTCGTAAAAACTTCTAATTCTAGCTTGGAAATGTATTTGACACTTTCTCATGATGAATAATATTTTGAAATGTCCATCTTAATGTTTCTGTTATGATGAGGACCATATCCGTTTTTATACCGTTTACCGAATCCATAAAAACGGCGGCAAAATTGTGCCTTATAAAACTTCCACTTTCTCTCCTGTCAAAAACAAAAAGATTGAGTACTGTTGTACATACTTTTTGGTATACTGTTTGGTATGTACCTGTGATCAGGTATATGCCAAAAAGTAAGCACTATCCTAAAAATAGTCCCGAAAATTTTTGTCTAACAGCTCATTCTTGCCTTACTTCGAAAGATTATCTTGTATCTAAACGAATGGATGTTGAATGCCTACATACTACGTGATGCAATATGTATTGGAACAATGAAGAAAAGCTGCTTCGTATCTGGCAAGTATTGTTGTCAAACAAACAAAGTCCACTTGGCTTATTTCTACTGCTTGAGAGATTTTTGGACGAAAATATTTGTTTTGCAAACTTCATCATCAAATGAAGTTCATCATCATTTACAAAGCAACAGGTTGAATTTTTGATTTTTCTACAAATAAACTATACTCGGCAATTATGTCCTGATGACTTTCACTAATTTTTAAGATGTTAATTAGAAAAATCCAATAAAACAGGAAAATCAAAAAACAGGAAAAGTTTAATTTTCTTCATGTTCCTACCTGCTGAAGTTTCTATTGCTTTGTTGCACTTCGTTTTCGACAATGGCGTTGGCAACATGCTATACTACAATTTCACCACTTACATTTGAAACCTACATGTGGAATTGAACTGAAAATTTGCAAAATTTAAAAGACGGTTACATATTTCAAATGTGTGAAAGATGCCACTTACCATATTAACCATGTCGTTCCTTGAACATTTCTGAGAACACAATGTGCTATCCTGCGTTATCATTACTGCAATATACAAACTGCCCTTCCCAAGCATTAAGAAAGGTTTACAACAACGGACTGATTGTAATTTATCAATGAAACTTTAAACTCTCTGGTTCCTTTATTTCACTTTCCCATTACATGATCGATTTTGAAATTGAGCAATCGAACGGTGAAAATTTAGCCTTCTCGCTCATTTTTCTTCAAATTTTAAAGTGAACGGTGGAAAACATTGATTGGATAAATTGTTAAAAATCATTTGGTGGAGACTAAAATGACAGTGATGGAGCTACAATTTGTAAAATAAGAGTCACTTACCAATATTAAGTGCCATTTTTGAAGTTTCCAATAATGAAGCTTTTAATGGGAAGTGCTGAAAAGACATGATAAAAGTAGCACTCTTCAGGAATTAAATCATAACCTTTGCCACTCTAAAATCAGCCGATGTACTCGAAACGTAGTGACAGTTGGGTTGGAAAAGTAAAAAAAAAAGGAAGGTTTTATGAAATCACCGTAAAACGGAGAAACGAGCAGCATTTTCAAGAACTTCTAAAAAATCTCGAAATTGGTAAGCTTTTATTATTCAGAGGGGAATACTTTACATTAAAGAAATATTGGTAGGATTAAGTAATGACTTGCTTCATACTCCTGTTTCAGCTTGTCGTTTGATACAGGCTTATTTGATATCTTGATTTTATCCAATTTCTGAATGAATCATCTCCCTTTATAAGTTTTTTTTCAAGAAAGTAAAATTAAAATTACTGGTATCCATATAGCAGGAAAAAAGAACTTAAATCCTTATTCTCTCTTACAGTAATCATTTTACTGATGTTCAATTAGTCCCACAGTAATCCTTGTCATTTTCTATTATCGTGGAAATAGAAGCACTTCGCCGGCTCACTGTTACCTATTCATTTTTATTAACACGAAACATGAAAGCGAAGTTTAAAAATACTTTCTCTTAGGTTCCTAATTAATCCAGCTTAGCAAAGGAATTCATGATATAAGGTACAGAATACTTTGAAAGTAAAAGATGTCAGGATCAAAAAAGAATTTAAAAACCATCAATTTGCTTCGAAACTTCACTTGTAGCGTCATTATAAGGAATATTTTACAGATATCACAATGGATGAATTTCAGTTAATGGAAATTAAATGGAGAAGTAAGAGTTGTGTTTCAAGTGAATGAATGCTTCGCCAATCCTTCCTAACACGTTGAATTCGCAAATAAGCAATTTCACATTTATTCTGTGGACTGGTTAGCTTTCAAAACAAGGTCAAACTTGAGGTTAATCTATTCCTTAACAAAGGGTTTCTTTCTTTTCGAATTTCAAATTGCATTTCGATAAGTTTTTGAAAGTCGAAAGTTCGTATGTCTGTAAGAAATGACTTAAAAGAACCTACTTATTTGTTCGCCTCCATCTTTGTAGGTATCCTTACGGGCTTAACAATTAGCCATTTTGCGTATTTATTTTCTCACACCTTCAGTAATTCAAAAAAAAAAGATTTATTCCTTGATTTGTTTTATGAAATCTGGTTTTATCCTTTTCAGACATAGGTAGAGATTGTTAATGGCAAGATGGATATGGAAATGGGAATGGAATCGGATTCGATATGAAAAATTGATGTCGGAATAAGATAAACTTGCTTTAAACAGTTATTAACACAACCAGAATATGCCAATACCTGTCGGAAAAACCGAGAGAATTTATCATACATTAAATGCTTAGAACATTTCTAATGATTCATCACTGCATTATTCACCAAATCACATTCCTCAAAATTATCTCCTATACGTTTCTTTGTTATCTTTGTCTAACGGAAATACACATTTTTACCGTTTCCTTTGTATCTAAAGGAATACCCTCTAACGTTTTATGTAAACCACTCCTACTTCTTTATATATATATATCCCTTTTTTGTAAAAGGGTTTGGTCTGGACTAGTGCTCTTCTATAGTATTCTTATAACAGCCTTTGACTCACGGGCAAGCGATTTCTACTCGTTATTCTTCAATAATCCTTCTGATCAATCCTGTATTATATCAATAAAGCGGTAAATTTTACTCTGCGTCCTCATAACGTATATTCGACGTCTTCACAAGGTAAGCCTTTAATTAAAGTTCTGCTTGATCTTAACTCAAGGCTAAACCTTCCAAATCTAAACGACTCGATAAAGGAAAGGAATAATTTTTCACAACAATACCTAGTGCTTGATAGACATACCCAG